ATCTCCTCGGAGGGACGCCCGCGGCGGGCCCTGAAGTTCGGGGTCGGGAAGAGGACGCTCCGAATCCCGGGGAAGCATTTGGAGACTTGACACAGAACGGACGAAAGACGGACACGGTGACTTTGGGGGCTGCGTTCCTGTGAACGTGCCTGGCGCCGCAAGCATCCAACTTCTTCCTGACCCAGCTACTCCTAAAACAGTCTCAAAAAATTCACATTAAAGATGCCTATTTAGGAAAGAAACAGAGTCTAAGCAGCAATTAGAAGAGGATTTTCTTCCCCGTCTATTAAAGATACTTTTTAAAGTACCCTTTTTGGCTCACAGAGACTTTATTTCATTATTTCCTGACTCTCCACTCCTTCCTCCCCATTTTGAATTGTTTTTCTTGCTTTCTCAGTCTCTTCCTGAAAAACACCCTGCCTTCGTGTTTTGAATAGAATCACAAAAACACCTTTAGTCTTTAATTAAAATAATACCTACTTGGAAGATGTGGCCCAGCCACAGAAGGACCTTCTTTTCCCTTCCCGGCAGAAGAGGGGAGTCAAACCTGCTTTTTTTTTTTTTTAAAGCAATTTCGGGTCAAAGTAAGCTGAAATTATCTTGTTTAGAGCCCCTTTTGGGGTGCAATAAATTAAATGCAAGTTATTTTGAGCAAAGTAGTTTAACCCAAATCCAGATTTTTGCGATTTAACCATTTGCAGATTCCTAGAAAAAAATAATTTACTTTTACACCTTAGCCACATTTCCTAAGAGAGTTTGAAATTACAGGAATCATCCTAATAAATCTGATTCTAAAATGCCTTAATTTTTTTTCTTATTTAAATAAAAAAATACCTGTCTCTGCTATGTGGATATGGGGTCCTAACCCCTCAGATTTGGTATTGATTAACCAGTTTTGGGTTGTGTAGATTACAACCAAGAAATTTAGAGATTGAGGAATTTGTGTGTGATGACCAGTTAAATTCGAAGAATTCCTGTTCTATCTAAATCAGCGTGGAATGCAGACTCATTTCTAAAAGACCTATGTATCTGACTATTTTGGACAAGAGGTGTAGATTAGATGGTCTGAACAATTGCTCAAATTCCTCACAACACTGCATGTGTAAACACAGAATTTAGAGAAGTCACCATGTTAGTTTCATTTTCAATCCTGCAAATGTGTGATCAGCCTACACTTATGTAAGAATTTTTGGTTCTGACACATTCATATCCTAGAAGACATAAATATCTGAACTCACATTAGAGACTTTGACCATCTCATTAATATGAAAATGTGGCTTTCCTATTCTCCACTTCTAAAGCTTCGTCCACCCATACAGGGTAAGTGGAAAAGAGTGACCACTACATTCCGACCTACATAAAACTTATCTGAATGGTGGGCCTGAATTATCTAGCTATTTGCCACTTCATATTATATTTGGGTAAATGTGACTGGAATGCTGGGTTAAATACCTTAAGCTTGGTAAAGCACATTACATACAGCTCAACTCAATGAATAGCTATGGAAGTTTTCTTTATTGATTGCTTGATGTGTAACAATAATTGGAATCTTTTTCACACATTACAAAAAAATTATACTTGGCTCAGTATGCAATCTTTTAAGCATAGCCATATTATTTAACAGAAGAAAGGGGGAAAACCTACTCTACCCAATACAGCATTTACAAATGCACAAAACAGGCCACTTTGGCTTGTATATTTGTCTAGATTAAAAAAAAAAATCTCTTTTTAACATAAATAAGTTAGTATAATTTTCAGTGTCTTTACAGAGTTATGTACACAGGTACACTTCAAACGGTTTTGTTTTATACACATACACAGGAAATGTAAAAATACTGTTTAAAGATGTAGTATCCGTTTCACTTGACCCCATGGGTGCTTTTCTCCATATGCACTGTCCTTTAAAAAACCACTTTCCCTTGGGCAAATCAACAAATAGGATGGGAAGCTTCAAATTAAAAATTATTTCATTATTTTTTATGTCAACTTACTTACAGATCTTTAAAAATATCCCAGGATTTAGAATTATTTTGACTGTCTACATACCCTGAAGTGAAAAGAAAATTAAGAAATTTTCTCAGCAAATCTGATAAAAATTAGATGGTCAATTCTGAGCATTCAGAACTGCCCCCATACGTGCCAGATTTTTGCCCAGAATTACCTGGAGTGATTACCAAACTACTGAATAATTTAACTGGTAAATTCCAATTTTAAGGGAAATTGGGGAGAGCACTGAGGATCATTTTTTGTTGTTGTTCAAAAAAAAAAAAGTCTACATAACGGAATCATCAGAGCTCCCAAATGAGAAAAAGCTTCATGTAAAAATAAATAGCAATTATTTCCAGCCAGTGTTCAAATCTGGATGATTTTTTTAAATGAAGTATCAGTTCTCACTGAAAGGGACATTACATCTTTAAAGAAAACAACTCAAACACTTCCCCCAAGCTGCTTCTCTTCATGCAAGTCAAATATTCTCCTTGCTGTAAATCGAAGCAAGCTCTTCAAACCACCCCCACCCATGCCAATTCCTCAGCCCCACCCGGCCCTCCCTTCCCCAGAGTTTATGTGCTACATAAAAGATAAAAACTATATACACAGGTAGTACAATGAAGCAAATAAGGAAAAACCTAATTGCACAATGCTACATCCAATGCTTTTAGAGGCAGATGATTTAAGAGTGCCTAAAATTTTAGTGTTGTGTTGTTGCTGTTCAGTGCTTATATGGGATGTCCAATCCATGGAGTCAGCAATATGTATTTAAACTTTTAAATTTATATCTTCCTTGCTTCATCAAGCAGTGAAGTATCTGATCAACAAGGAAACACTCAGTTCTGCAAAAGAAACAAGAAGAAACAATTAAGAGAAAAGCACTAAGATAACATTGCCAATATATTACAGGAATTATTTTGCTACTGTCTTGGTTGGCAAATATCTGAGAGATGGAAAACAAAGAATGTACTAAAAGTTGGTGACTAGAGTCATCTCCATCCAGTATTTCTTTCACTGGATTCGTACTGTCCTCTGTGCTGTGTACTGCTGTCTAGAGCAGTGGTTCTCAACAGTGGGTAATTTTGCCCCCCAGGGGCATCTGGCAATGTTTGGAGACATTTCTGGTTGTCACACTGGGTGTGGAGGAGGGGGTGCTACTGGCATCTACTGGGAGAGCTCACGGAAGCTGCCAGAACATTCTACAACACAAAGGACAGCCTCCCACAACAAAGAAATATTCGGCCCAAAATGTCAGTAGTGCAGAGGTTGAGAAACCCTGGTCTAGAGAATCGGGGTCAAAGATAGTAAGAAAGAACATGGACAGGAAAATTAAGAAACTGTTAACATTTCAGTATCAAAATTTTCTAAATTGGAAAAACAACTGGAATTACAACTTATAAAGGCTCTCCAAAGAAAATTGTTTGTTTGTTTTCTCCCTGAAGTATTCTAGTTTCTTAGTCATATGCAGAACATACACATGAGTGCTTGTGAATAGGTCCTTACTACTACTTCCTGTATTCTCTGAACTGGCAATATTTACTAACAAGTGCCTCTCTGTATGTCAGAATGGGGCCAGATCAGAATCCAGTAGGTCTGATTCACTGTGGCTCATCTGATGAGCTGGGCCACAAGTCACAAACCAAGAGCCGCAGGTGTTAAGTTTACCTCAGAAAACTTTTTCACCCAGTTTACCTACTTCATATATAAGGAGTAGTGTAGAGGTCCACTAGTGCCGTTTTGCATTTGCTCTGAAAAATATCAGATGCATGTAACTAAAGGCCTAGATATGATATTGATTTAAAAATAAACAAATTTGAATCCAACCTTCATCCCTGTTCTTTATTTTCAAATTTTTATAAATGAGGATTTTAAAAGTTAACATCAACATTTACTAGGATATCTTCATATGCGGGGCTATGAGTGTGTTTTGGGAAAAAAAGAGGTCGTGGTCCTTGTCTGTTAGAAGTTTACAAACTATTAATATATGTAGTTTAATCATTATGTAGACAAATCTATGTAAAGTTGGGGGCTGAATTATTCAAATTAGCTTTCCATGCTGATCATATTTTAGTAGGTGGAAAAATCTCCACTTCCCTTGTTCGGGGTAGACCTACCTTTGCCAGCCCTAATATCTTCTCTCCATTTCCCCCTACAAGTATCCAAATTATCCTGTTATAGCACAATTAGCATACACATGCTGACGTGTTCCTGGACTGCTTACTCTGGCAGAGTTTCTTTAACTTCTGCTTTGCAACTTCAGTGTTATCAGAAATTCTGTTGGAACCTTAGTATTTTTGAGCCTTCCATTTTGGTTTTTTTCAGTACACAGGTTCCTTCTCTGTCCCCCAAACTTATCAGAAAATGGGGAAAGTGACAGTTTATGGAAATGATAAAGATAAAAGAAAGGAACATACGCAACATACCTCTCTTTTCACATTTCTAACCATTTGATTAACCAAATGTGAGCCATTTGTACCTCACTTTTACCTCGAAGTTAAATCTTTTATTTGCCATTTTGCCACATATGGTCAAAATGTGCTACCGAGTCAACTTGATCCTCTGGGAGATGAATTCTCGTGGAGTGGGACAGAGGCAGACCCCCGCTCTTGTTCAGATGGAAAAAGAACCTATTGTTCCCAACATGTTTTGATGGGACTCTCAGGAAACTGACCTTCCTACCTACCAGGCCTTGGTTACAAGTACTTGCCTGGGACACTTGTTTTAGTCATTGGGTGCTTCAAAGGAAAACGATCTCAGGAGGTAAGAACACTGAAGAGTTACAGTATCCTTACACTGATTTCCAGCCTTCCACATTCTTACTTTTTTGACCTCACAAAATATAAACAAAATGAAACCCCACAAACTTGAATCTGCCAGCCACCACTAAGATCGGGCATCTTGGGGTCTGAAAACCAAGGAATTCTTGTAGCCCCAATCGGTGTCACTTATTTGCTCCTGTTAATCAACCCACCGAGCAGTTTACGTTTGACGCCTTCTGAGGCCGGGCTTCTTGGGCGTCTGCTCCACTGAACCCGCGTTGGGGGAACCGTCTGAAACGTTTTCTTCTGTTCTGTTGGCTCTTTTGTTTTGAGGAGAGGAATCTAAGGGAGAGGGGGAATTTTTAAAAGAACACAAACAATCTTTATTAGAAAAAACAATGGCTGACAGAAGTTGGCCCACTAGTCAGGGGATGAAAACCCACCACCTCCACCCACAACCCTGGCTCTGTCATTCCCTGTGGCCTTTAAGGGCACAAAATGAGTTTGTTTTCACATAACAGAAAGTGCATTCTACGCCCTAAAGCTCTCTCTCCAAAGGGAAGAGGGAGGCCATTGATAAACATCCCAACGTTGTCACCTACCGCTGGCAAGTGGGGAGGAGCCGCGATGTTTTCAGTTAGAGAAATTATCAGATAACACAATCTCAGGCTTCTGACTTAAAAGTCATAAACAGACAAGGAATCAGCTAAACAGCGTTTAAAACTTAAGAGTAGGAAAGTGCGCTCCCCAAGAGCTGAATCAGAATACGCTGAAAAGAAAGTTTGAGGTTAAGGACCCTCGAGCAGGGAAAGCAGTGTCGCAGACAAACACAGACAGACAGACAGACATTTTATGCATCTGGAAGGGTCATTACCGTCTGTGGCAGGTCGCTTCCTTATCCCAGTGCACTGCTCCGCTAAGCCCGTCTGGCTGTCCGGTGCATCAGTCTTTTGGTCTACCAAATGCGTGTCCTCTGAGTTGGCCTGGGACCCAATTAAAGGCACCGCCTGGCGGGTCCCGCTGACATCCTGGCCCTCCTGCGCCGGCACCTTGCAGGCGCCTTTGGGTGGCCGCGGAGGTCTGTAGTAGAACTCGGGCAAGCTGCCCTTTTCCACCTCTTGCCACTCGTATTTGCCCTCCAGGGGCTTGTGATTCTGAAAATCAAAATTCCACTTGAGCTGGCTGGCTTCTTCCATGTCTCGGCAGTGCTTCTCCAAGTCCCGGGTTAACTCTTCGTGATTGACCGGGCCGAAGAGGTTTCTGCAGGCCGAGGGCTTGGGGTACTCCGCCTGTCTGGCGTCCATCCGCTCCAGGCTCGGGCTCCCGTTAGACACTCGCACGTTTGACATCCTCCTCCCGGGGCTTGGCGACCGCCTCTCTCGCGCTCTCGCAAAACAAAACCGAACAAAGCGAAACGCCCCGACCCAGCCCGAGCCCCTCTTATAAACCCTGCGACTGCCCTCGGAGCCAAGAGAAACAAACACGGACGAGTAAGTGCCCGAGCGTCAGGAGCGCGCCGGGCTGGGGGAGGGGGCGAGGGGCAGCCCCGGCCAGGCAGCCCCGAGTCTCCGCCGATCAAGTGTACGGGCGAGCAGGAGGGCGGGGAGGGGAGGGGAGAGGAGCGGAGAGGAGGGAGGAGGGGGCAGAGCCAGTCCGAGTCCCGGCCGCTGCGAGCCCGCGGGTCCCGCCGACCGAGCGGCTCTCCAAACCTTGCCGGCGTCGGAGTCGCGGAGCGGCGAGAGAG